TAATTGCGCCGCGCCGCGCCGCGTCGCGTTGCGCTGATCTCCCTCCGTTTCCGAGTTCTCGCCATTACTGACCGCGTCTCTCTCTCTTGCTCTCTCTTTTTCCCCCCTCTCTTTCATCGGTTGTCAGCGGTTCAACCAACCGACCGATCACCCGATCACGTTTTTGCACGCGACCGGAAAGAGTAAACTACCCTTGCTTGCGCTCTTATTTACCAAGGTTCACACTCCTTCCATGTCAACGACACGCGCGCTCCTGCCAAGGCCAGCAGCGAGCTACGCCCTCCACATCGGTCCCGCCGTCGTTGTCGAAAAATTGTCATTATCGTGCACGTCGCATCCACGCCATTGGCAGCTTCCGACGAAGGCCGCCGACGGCATCGAACGTCGGGAGTCTTCGAGGCGGCGGCGGCGGTGGAGGAGGAGGAGGAGGGTGTGCAATCGCATCGGCGTCGCTCGTGCCAGCCTGAGATGAGCGACCATGGCTGCATACATTTGAATAATTTTAAAGCAGCCAAGGGTATTCAGCCGTACAAAGTGATACACTCGTATTTCGTGACCAGCACGTCGACGGAAGGACGCGTTAGGAAGGTACGTTTGTTTCTTTCTCGCGTGCGACTTGCGCCCAAGCATTCATGGTCATGCATTTTTCGGGGCAACCGTTGCATCCGGGCAACCTAGCTTTCCGTCACGTTTCACTTCCGCTAACCACCGTTCGCCTTTCCTATCTCCGTCTCGTTCTACCTCCTTCTATTGGTCTATTTCCTCTCCCCCATCACAACGTTTGGTGCATGGAGTTTGCAAATGCCTAGAATAGTGTTCGATTTTTGTTTTTCAACAATTTGCTGGCGGGATGTTTAAAAATGTCCACTGCGTTGATAGGGTGGAATATATTTATCTTATAATAATGTAATAGTATTGTTTTTTACATATTAAATATCATATCTTTTAATTTGATTACGATACAAAAATTAATAATAATCAATAATAATTATTATTATTACAGTATTAAAGAATAAAAAATTGTACAAAATATTTAAATATATATAATAATGTGTATCATATGCAAAATTTGAAAAAATAGCTATTTTAGATTTAAATGTTATCTAATTGAAAATTTTGGAATTTCTTGTTTGTGTAATAAATAAGGTATAGTGTAAAGACAAAGTTAACAATAATAAAATTAATACTAAACATTTTACAGGCTGTGAGCTGTTTTTGTCATACATGTAATACTTACAAGGATCGTCTACATTCTTGTCTTCATTGTATATTTTTTGGCTGTTATGTAAGGGGTCACATACAAGAACATGCAAAAACGAAGAAACATTTTCTAGGTAATGAAATATGATTTAGTTCGAGTTATTCTATACATTTATATTTTGTCAGGAGCAAAGATTATAAATGAAATTATATATTGTTAATTCTATATCCACAATTAACCAAATTGACTAGTTTTCATGTCAATTGTTATTTTAGCCGTTGATCTGTGTTATGGAAATATCTTGTGCTTCCAATGTGGCGATTATGTATACGATAGAGAGCTGTTAGCAGTGGCGAAAGCACAATGGAGCCAGTCAGCAAAATCCTTGAGCTTCGGCGAATTTTACCGAGCATGGGAACCTACGCAGATAGAAGCAGAGTTGTTAAGAAAGCATCCACGTCGAAGACGTGTTGTAGAAAATTCCACTATAGGTAGAAACTGAAAGATTTAAATCTAAGTACAATTCTAAACCGCCATGGCCACGTGATTTTGAATCTTCATGCACACAATGTTATTTTCAAAAATAAAATACACAACTCTTGACACAAGAATACAGTAATACAACAATATGAAAACTCATTTTGCAATTATTTTTCTTATAGGTTTAAGAGGACTGATAAATCTTGGAAAAACCTGCTTTATGAACTGCATCGTACAGGCACTGATTCACACACCGCTCCTGCGAGACTACTTTCTTGCTGACCGTCATCACTGCCCGCAACCGAGTCGCTGTCTCGTCTGCGAGGTATCCCACTTATTCCAGGAATTTTATTCCGGCAATAAGGCTCCGTTGACGCTTCACAAACTTCTCCACCTGATTTGGACGCACGTCAGACATCTGGCAGGATACGAACAGCAAGACGCCCACGAATTTTTTATTGCTACGTTGGACGTTCTCCATAGACATTGTGAAGCTGCTCCAATACTGGTCAAAGACAATCCCCATCACTGCAACTGTATCATTGATCAGATATTCACAGGAGGTCTTCAAAGCGATGTTGTTTGTCAAGCTTGCAAGTACGTCTCTTATTTTTCCGAGCAAAATATAAACCCGATAAAAAGGTTATCATCCTCATCAGAGTATTTTATAGTAAGCGTACACGCAATGCGCAGAGTACAATTGTGTCGGAACAAGTAATTTTTTCCTCTGACAAGTTTGTATAAATGTAATGACAATTGTGCGAGATATTTTATTTTAAAATTTCTTTAGCAAAGATTGTCTAATATAAAAATCTTATTTTTTATCATGTTAGAAAAATTTGACCTAATCTAACATTTGACTTGGAATTCTCTTATATTTGTACTTTTGTTTCAGTGGAGTATCTACCACAATAGATCCATTTTGGGATATATCTTTGGATTTGGGTCCGGCATCTGGTGCGTCTGGCTCCGATACGTCCGGGCCTCCCACTTCTTTGCTGGATTGCCTGGAAAGATTCACTAGAGCCGAGCATTTAGGTTCCACGGCAAAGATCAAATGTAGCAATTGCCAGTCTTATCAGGAGAGTACAAAGCAGTTAACGATGAAGCAGCTGCCTATTGTGGCGAGTTTTCATCTGAAGCGCTTTGAACACTCTAGCATCCAGGATAAAATCTCGAAAAAAAAGATCTCCACATTCATCTCATTCCCAGAGCAACTAGATATGACGCCATTTATGTCGCATAAGCGTAATGGCAACAAGAATAGTGCTATGATGGATGGGTTGTCAAGGAACGGAGAGAACATGATCTTTAGTGACAATAGGTAGTGAAAATCTATATAAATGACTTATTTTTCTTCATGCTTTATTGACTGTGCATTATATTGCTTTGAAGAATAGATTATGCATCGTATTAATCTGATCGCTAACAATAGGTACTCTCTGTTTGCCGTGATAAATCACGAAGGCTCTTTAGAAACTGGACATTATACCGCTTACATCAGGCAACAAAGGGATCAGTGGTTCAAGTGCGATGATCATTTGATCACACGAGCTAGAGTGACCGATGTCGTGACTAGCGAAGGGTAAGATAAGATAAGATAAGCGCTAAGTAATTGAAAATGATTGATTTGATAAGTTTCTTAGTAAGATGAAGGAAAAAAAGAAATTAAATTATATTATTCCATTATTAAGTAAAATTTTTTGTTTTTCAGATATCTTCTTTTTTATCACAAGCAGACTTTGGAATATGGTCGAAATAGTAAAGTATAAAAGAAAGGAAGAGAGAGAGAGTGTGGCGCGCGTGTGTGTGGTGTGTGTGTTTGTATGTGTGTGGAAGACAGGGAAGAATTAAATCATGTAATTAATTTATTTAATGAAGAATTTGAAAAATTGCTGCTGAAGCTAGTCGGTGACGCTTTACGTTTGCCGAAAATTCGTGTCATCGTCGCTTTTTGATTTTTGCCGGCACCTTTTGTGTTCGATGAAATATGCCGACTAACTGCTCGACCGACATCTTTGTGCGTGTTCCGAATGTAACGTAAGCGTAGATGGTAAGATTAGCTCAATTTTTTTAAATGAACCGATCGCTGTTTTTGTATATCGCTGACTGTTGTTATACTCTTGACACTTGTATACACGACGCATGCCGAAAATAGGCTTCGTGTGTATCCTTTCTCCTTTTAGTTTCTGCATCTACCAGCAGAATGTTAATTGTTCCGATCTCTCGAGTGTCCCGATGTGCCTGTGATATCGGATTGTCGTTTATGACTCGTTGAATTTACTGATTGAATTGGTTGACGTGTTGATTTATAATCGATTAATTATATCTTTTTTATATTTACAAGTATTAATTAGATTACTTTTGTGATCACCGATACAGCAATTGAATGAAATTTTACACATAGAAAAATCAAGTTAAATTAGATTCTTAAACGCTACAAAGATCAAGTATTTATTGCGGAAATTCGATGTTCCATACGAGACAATCCGGTATTTTCTCGCGCGTTCAAAACTGTATACCAATATAGTGACATGATTTTTTAATTATAACGGCCATCCTTAGGCGACTCAATTTTGTACAGATGAATTAAAATGAACTACAGCGGATATGACGATATTAACACGAAGCGAATTCTTTCGCTAAACTTTGTATAATAAAAATCGCTGTTCCATAAGCTGGCCTTGTTTTTCCGTTTTTTTAAATTTGTTTTTTTTATTTTAAAGAATTGTTTATGACATCGTAAAATACCAAATATTATGTAGACATTTTAGGAAATAAAAATTGTATAGCTCAGAATTTAAGAGCTATTTTTAAAGCTTTTACATCTTGTATGATAAAAATTGTCAATTTATTAACATGTGTATGTTCTTCAACAAAGTTTTAAGATGCTGCATAGATTTATGATTGTGAAATAAGCAAATCTTTGCCTTAAATCAATTTGTGTTCCTTGTTGAAAAACGTCTATCAAGTAAATATTTGATTTTTTTATATAGAAGAGAGTTGAGAGTGAATGCTTATTCTTGAAAATTTTGTAAAATAAACACGCGAGTTTATGAATTCCTTATTATATATTTTGTAAATCTGTCAATCAGTTCCACTTTCCAAAAGCCGATTATATCAATGATCGTTTTCCAAAAATAATCTTTTATATATTCGCGCCAAAAACGATCGTTCTCACTTTAACCAATGCGGCGCCCAATGTCGTCGCAATGAGTGAAGCGGGGAAAAAAGATGGACGCCTTAACGTTAGGCTCGCACAGGTAAAGTAGCTGATTGACAGATTGAAATTTCTGTGTAGCTATCGCCAAACGAAATGTCGTGTTACGGGGAATCGTTTTTTCCTTTCCAGACTGGTTCATCTTGATTTCAAGGGCGCGCCGCCACGCATTTGTTACTTCGAAAAGGTATAATATTGTTCGTAAACATTCATAGCCTCATTTCCGGCTAATACGTTTTAACACATTTATATCAATATATGAGCTGCTTTTTGAATAATATTTGTACAATCGCAACAATTGTTTTATCATTTGATCATGAAAACATAATACAATTGATATTTCTTGATTACAAGCTGCTTTAAATTATTTGCATTACGAAGATTTATTTATGCCTTAAGATACATAACGATTGTGCAAACAAATGCAAAATAATGGTTAATTTCTCCGAGATTTTACTTTTTATCATGGACTTAATAACCAAGATACATATGTCTGGTTTTTGCTTGCATTTATTTTTACTCTTATAACTTTATGGAATTTTTGCAGCTTTTTCCGCTGTTGCGAACATGGGGAGCCACTGGATTATTATTGGAATGGGAGGATACATTTCCTTACAACCGAGAACTTTCTCCAGTGGGGAGCAATGGGCCGAGCAGTTTAGCGAGTGGATATACGATTCAAGAGGCTAGACATATCCTGCAGATAGCAGGCGATTGCGGCTTAGCAGTGGTCCCATTAGTGCAAACCTTTGGTCATATGGAGGTATGAAAATGACGTTTCATACATATTTTCGTCACATTATTCTGCATAAAAGTAATAATTACTATATAAACTTATTTTTAAAAGTTACTATCAGCTATCGATGTTTCATATATCTATCATATTTAATAAATTTATTATGATTTAAATTCCAGTTTATCCTGAAACACGATGAATGGAGGTCGTTGCGAGAAGTAGAGGCTTTTCCAAGTTCCATCTGTCCGTCAAATCCGCGAACTCTTCCAGTTGTTAAGTCCTTGATACGTCAAATTGTTAGTTTTCATCCTGACATACAGTATCTGCATATAGGCTCCGATGAAGTGTGGCACTTGGGTCTTTGCTCAGTTTGTACCAAGCGAGCCGCAGCCAGCAAATATGGCAAATCTTCATTATACCTGGAACACATTCTGGCAATAGCTCAATACATTCAGGAGACCTATCCATACTTGAAGATTATCATCTGGGATGATATGTTGAGATCCATAGACTTACAGGTTTTGAACGGTATCTCGATATCTTATTCGCATTGTACGGTTGCGCAGATCTTTGTACAATCAATCTTTTTCTTTTTACAGAACATTACATTGGTAAATATGTCGAGCCCATGGTGTGGCATTACAATCCCAGGGATAACTTTGCTTTGCCCGATGGTACCTTCACTCTTCTTTAATTTTCAAAAAATTTGAGAAAATACATATATGAAAATACACTCTTCAACAAAAAAATAACAAAATACAAATAAATTACGCAACTTTACGAATAATAATCATAATTTTTTTTCTCAGCGATGTTTTTGCTTCAAGTAATGTCACTTTTAAACCAATCGTGCGAAAAACTCGAGGAATATAGATTGCTGAATTATAATCGTGTTAAATTTGCTAGGAATGTGGGATAAATACAGCGCTGTCTTTCCTTACATCTGGGCGGCAACGGCGTTCAAAGGAGCCACTGGTTCGACACAGCATGTGCCCGTAATTCGGCACCATATAAGCAACCACGAGAAGTGGTTGGAGGAGTTGGGGGTTCACGTGAGTAAGGTGCACGAATTTCGAGGTACAGCATTCACCGGTTGGTCGAGGTGAGAGGGATTAGAAAAATTACAAGACACTGCCTCCGAGCACGACACTGATTAATCGCTAATTTTAGGTATGATCATTACGCCACGATGTGTGAATTGCTGCCCACGGCGATACCGTCGTTGGCCATGTGTCTAAAAGTTTGGCTCTACGGCTATTCGGAACAGACGCATACACAAGTCTCAAAGAGTCTGGGATACATCGATCATCCGCTACACATAACCCCACAGCTTCGCCCGGTTTCCATACCTAGCAACCTACTCTTTCCCGGGTGGCAAGTGGCTGTGGGTATGGAGTGGTTTCTTAACTTCAAGGCGAAATTTCACAACATCGTCACCAGCGATCAGTAAGCGTCGAAATATTTTAATCTATCAATTTTACTCCGGGCCTGTGAAAGAATCGTTAGTTGCTTATTTACGCCTCAATGATTTATTTGGAAAAATCTTGAACAGAGATATAAAATTACTTAAATATAATATGAAATTATATATATGTTTTATACATATGACAAAGATTTCTCAAATATTAAAGTCTTTAAAAGCTGAGATTCAATTTAATATCGATTGCATTCAGCAAAAACAGATTATTTTTGACAGAATTATGACATGGATGAATCCGTGGCAAGTGGCAAATAATTACACAAATCCCATGCAATTGGAAAATTTGATACCTGCTTTTACAGAGTAAGCATTTTTATTATATAACCGGTTTTACTAGAATACAACATTACTGTTTACAAATTTTGACACACATGTATGTATATTTCAGATTGTTATTGGAATTGTCTTCTTTGGAGGGTTATTTGCGAGTTCAAATGGAAGCAATTTTCTTCTCATCGATGATCGAGGAATGGATAGGTACCAATGTTCAGCCGATGAAATTCAAGTTGATAGAACTGAAACAGACCACAGAGAATCAGTTGAAGATAAATAGTCGTGTGTAATGCTTGTTAAAAAATTGGTTCGATCAATTCTAAATAATATATCGCAAAAAATTCCATCAGAAGAGGCTCTAACAAATGATCACTGATAACTGGATAATCGACTGTTTCTTGGACGTAGAGAGAAATTATTTTTGTATATAGTAAGACGCTGCATATACAAAACGTCGGATGGTCTACTACTTTGATGTTGATCTATTTTTAAAGAAGCATCGCTTAAAAGAAAAAAAAATAGTTTCCTAGAGAAGAAGAAGAAGGGGTTATATTATTTTAATATTGGATATAAAAAAGCAAGAGAAACTTTGTCGATATGTGAGATGCTCTGTGATACTTGGCCATGAAAGGGTAATTATATGGTTAAATTAATATTAAATAATTAAGGAACAATTGATATATTTAAAAGTAGCATAGCATCCCTCTGTCTTTCATTCACTTTTTCACTCTAACATGTCTATATGTTAGGCGAATAGAGAGAAAGAGAGAGAAAGAGAGCTGCGCAAGAGGAAATAAATTCGTTAGATTTATAGAGGTAAACTATGGAGACGCGACTGTATAGATTAGTCTACTTAGATTCATAGATTGAAATAGTACATAAAGCATATGTTGCATAACTCGTGTTTGTAACTTTTACTTATATTACTTATATCCTTTTTTTTATGTATACATGATGTGTAATGCATATTCAGTTATAAATTTATTAATAACTTTGTGTCATATGCATAAATATCTTTCATATTTTGTCATAGCGAGTAACGAAAGTAAACGTTTCACTACATTAGTTTTGAATTCTGACTCTTTTGTATATATAATTTCTTTTTTTATCTTTTTAATAATAAGTAATAGTTATTTTTCTTATCTTCTTTAATAGTGAGAACAATTGATATAACGTACTACAGAAAGAATTAAATGTAATACAAAATAAAATGATTAAGAAAAGAAAAAGGTTGATATATATTGAATATATATTCTATTTGCATTCTTATTTAATCCTTTCAATATCACAAGTTATTATTACACAGCGCATCGTTTGCCTCATTTCTTTTCACATGATTCTAGAGTGATTATGGCAGTTGTTTATATGCTTTTGTTTCTGTTCTATCTGTTTTCCGTCAAAATCACGTAATTTACGAACGGTCAGCTTGTTCTGCCATGCCACAAGCTAAGAAACACGACGAACAAGAGGCTTTAAAATTGGATGAACACTTTAAGCAAATTTTGACGCACGTCAGACCGTACGTGTTAAACTTGACGTCGGTGGATGAGGCATATTTGTGCAAGATCTGGCTCGATAAGCTGAATTCCACTATTTCGCAACGTAATTTGAGAAATGAATATCTGTTAGAACTCTCCCGACAGTTAAGAGCAGGCATACTCGAAGGAATATTCAAGACTCGGCCACCTAATGACTTGTTAATACCGTTACCATCACCTTGTCACACGGTATTTCATTTTGATTCTTCTTATACTTCTGTTGTCTCAGAATGATGTCTTTCACATTTGCAAAAATGAATGTAGAACAAGGAAATAAATAGATAACATATAGAAATAATTAATTGCCTTTATTTAGACTGAAAATTTTAATCGACAATGGATATTCTTTTACATTATTATAACTTGTTATTTTTTTATCAGGTTTATATTAACTCATCTTTAAGTGAATTGTCGGACTCTAGCAGAAGCTATCAGAAATGCTTGTCTCTAAACGAAAAGTTGAACCAAAGAAATCATCAGCTAAACGAAATAAATGTTTATGATGACAGTGCGATAGAAAAGAATCACTCAAAATTTTGCGAGCATCGTATTGATATATTGACCGCTGCACTCCAAAATCTCCGTATCGAAAACGTCCAATTAAGGGGAGAGTTAACCAAATATCAAGAAAAATCCGTGGACAACAAACCATTTCGATTGCAAAATCGCGTTAAACAGCTGACAGCTCAAACACAAATTCAAAATCTTGGGTGGAAAGTTCGAGTGCTCAAAAAAACTATCACAAAACTGAAAAAGTTGAACAAAATCACAAAGCATGTTTATGAAAAGAAGTTGCAGCATCTTATGAAAGTAACTAAAAAAAAAATTATCCTCTTTTTCACAAAGATTTTTCTATTAAAATTTAATCATTTAAATTTGACTGTATTTGCTTTACATTATTAAAATATCATAGATAATATCATAGATGTGAGATACTCTATTGCAGAATAAAAATCTGGAAATCAAGGTTCTACAACTGCAATTCCAAGGACAGATGAGTGAGTTCTGTTTGTCTTTATGTGCGGAAAAGCAAAATGAGTTACATAGTTTGGTGGGAGCTTTGGAAGAGAAGTATAGGGCACTTTTAACAGCTGCTGATGCCACTATTGAAAATCAACGGCAAGAATACTTCATGGTACTTTTATTATATTATTTCAATTATATTCCTCTAATTTTTTTTGATAGTAAAGAAATCAAGATCTTTTTTTCTTTTAATTAGTATGATTGGCAATCTTTTGGCCCTTTAAAAATACATATAAATTAGCATTCATGATGATTGGTATGTTATATTTTTAGAAAATAGCTGTACTTGAAGCCAAATTGTGCCAATTGAAGAATTTTGAACCCAAGGCAGAATGCGTATAATCAAAATGTTATTATTAATCAATAAAAAATATTTAATTGCTTTTTTGCACTTTTTGATTCAGATTTCGTTTAAATCAAATTGGATTTTGGACTAAATTTGCATACTTTTAAATAAAATTGTTTTATAAAAAAAAAGATAAATATCTATGTCAAGTATGTACATAGAAAACATGTTTACAAATGTATGCAACAAAATTTTAAAAATAAAAAAAAATGTTAAAAAATTATTTATACGTACATTCTATAAGTATGTATGTGAAAAACATTTTAATATTTAAATACCTGACTCTCTAACCTAACTTTACCAAAAACAAACTAACCTAATCCAAGTAAAAAAGTGGTTGCTTACATGTATGGTCTCCATGACAACTGTCAATGTAAAATCAAACATTGTAACATATCATCTGATTACTGTCTAATTGCTATTATGGTTGCAATATAAGAATTATATTTCTTCATTAAAGCTTTAATTTTATATTATATATATTTTATATATATATATTAACTTACAGTGTTATTAAATTATATTAAATCTATTATATAGTGTATGGTAATGTAATGAAGAGACAATGACTTTATATTTTGACATACGTGTGCAAAATCCCGAAACTGCTTCAATAAGCACCCTTGCAACTTGGCACAATAGCTACCCCTTGCTAGCTATTGCTGCATATTCTCAAGATAAGGGTGGCTTTGTAACTATTTATGATGATCAAGGGGAACCCGTGCAAGATGTTGAATCGCCAGAACATGCTGTAGCACAAGTTACCGCGCTTGGGTGGCATCCAGAAAGGACGTGGCTGGTGGCGGGATGGGAAAGTGGAGAGTTGCGAGTTAGTAATATTGTTAGATAATCCAGAAACAGATTTTACAAAGTGTTTGCTATCTATTTTTTTTTTTAGTAGAATATTAACTGGTATCTAACAAAATTTTTCTCAGGTATGGTCAGGAGACACTGGAAGTCAAGAATTCAATGTGATAGTGACTCCTCATCGAGAATCCATCACAATTCTGCAATGGAGTCAGTATGGTGGTCGTTTAGTATCTGCCGACGCTGGCGGATCTATAGTTGGCTGGAAAATAGATTCTAGAGGACAGCTTCTCATGACATTTCATCATGAACTGAAAGACTCTTTTGTACAAATTGCATTTAAAACAATTCCCCCAAAACCAGCTATTGATATCAGGTCATTATAGTACATTCATTTTCCTTAAAATAATACACTACAATTGCAAGTAGTAAGTTAACATTTCTGAAAATATTAATTTTACAAAGGATTAGTTGTGTAGAATTTATAGATAAACATTTAATGATTTAACTTTCTTTTTTTAATAACGCGATTGAATATTATTTTAAATATCTTTTTAGTGGCTTGGCAAAGGCGGCGGTGGCTGGTGACGAAAGAGCGCTGGATTTGTTCAGTTCCTGGCGTCCGAGGACCGCTGCACCAATTGCAGTTCCGACTCAACGGGACAATCACGCATTTTACATCGGTACTGCAGGCGGCAGCATATACTTTGTAGACGCTCAGGGACAGTGCAAACAAGTCCTCGATACCGATGGCACGGCATTGCACTGTTTGTTGCATCATCAGACTAGAGACTCTATCATCGTCATGACGGAGGCATTAAACATCGGGCACTTTCAAGCGGACCCAATCAGCGGAGAGCTCACCGAATTAACAAAGGTATAGCAATCGCGGTATTGGATTCTATTATAAATACAAAACTTTAACTAAGACTAAAATAGAGGGATTCCGTCGGGATAATAATATTATATTCCATTATTATGCAACATCCAGGTAAAGCTGAGTGGCAGAAGCGATACGTCGCGTACCACTGGCAATGCTCTATGCTGGATCAGTGGAAACACCTTGGCCATGCTTACGGGAGAACTCGCTGTACGATGTTGGGATCTTCACACAGGTGACACGTATGTCCTCGCGCCGCCGGATTCGTCTAACGGAAACGTCGCCACTCCACAGGAAGTGTGCACTAGCTTGGCATTCTGCAAGAGCAATGGTAAGATCTGTCTTATATTCTAAGTCAGATCGACTCAGATTTCGTACGATGTGTAGCTGAAATATTTGTAAAAAATATTGTAAATTAATACAGAGTAGATACAGGATCAGAACATCTGTATCTACTCTGTATTTATTTTTCTCTTTTCGTGTTATTGCCGTTATTTTTGTCAAAGTGAATCCGACGATGACAAACTAATAAACTGAAAGATTAATCTCGCATCTCCTCGCAGATACCTTGGCCGCCGGCACCAATCTGGGAACGATCTACTTGTGGAAGCGGAAGAGCCTGTCCGAGTGCGACGAGAACGCCTGGCCGAGCGTCCCGGAGTCCTGCGCGATTCACGGCACGGTGAAGCTGCTAACGTGGGGCATCAGTCTGTCGCGAAATTCCCTTCTGGCCGTCAACTGCATCACGAATGTATTTATCCTGCATCAACAGCCGATGTGCGCCGTGTACAACGATGGCGTTTGCGCGAGTCAGCTCACACCCACGCAAATTCTGCTCGAGATGGACAAGCAGACGTATACGCTGAAGACGGAGATTCAGGTGCAGGTGATCGCTGTTACGAGGGAGTACGTCGCCCTCTCTTCCGGCAGACAAATCGTCGTCAATCACATTAACAAGGGCGCCAGTCTCAGTACGGTTGCTCTGACGACCTTCAACTGCGACACGGAAAAGATGTTGATCTACGAACACACGTTGATAGTGTTGACTCCGACGATTATCCAACTGCGATCTGTGGAAGGTTCCGTCATTCAGACGCTTCCCACTTTGCCGGAAGAAGGCGAGCCGATCACGATGGAGTTGACGGGTAATTTTTGAGCGGAACAGTGCGTTGCGATTCATCGCTTAAGCATCTGACATGAGAATGCTCTTTCCGATATTATTTGCATTATAAATATTACCGTTTATTATTTTTCACAGGACAGTATTTGACTGTGGCATCGCTGAACGGCATCCTGAAGATCTGGGATCTGAGTAAGCACGAGGCCAAGCTGCATACCCGAGCTATGGCAACGTACGAGGCGATCAGCGACTTTGCTGAAATCATCGAGGCGAGATGTAATTCAGATTGCCGGTGCGTCTCGATCACTGTCGCCATGGCAAATCTCATGCCTAGTTCGGTGCTTTATGTCTGGGACATCGAAAGCGATCAGATTCACGAATTCGACTTCGGAGAGTCAGACGACGTCATTGACGATGACTCCATGTAAGTAATAAAGAACTTGTTTCAATGCGATGAATATCTTTCATTAATTGACCATGTATATTTATGATTGTTAATTAATCACTACTTAATTTAAAAAATTCTTAACAAAATTAGGAGAAAAATTTGTATTCCTTTATTCCTTTGTATTTTAATGATAAAACATTACAAATATGCTAATATATATTTTTCAGAGCTGCTCAATGCAAAGGAAGATTAGTAACCGCGCATTGCTGGGATACGGAAGATCCCAGACTGCTGATATGTCGGGCTCAGAAATTGGAAAGCCAAGGTTCCAAGAGCTTCAATAAAGCCAATGATCAGGTAGTCAAGCATATGCATATTATTAAACTATTAAAAGCTGTTAAAAAATTTTTGAGTTAATGTTTTTTGTTAATTATGTAAATGGTTCTTTTCTTAATAGGAACTTTATTCCATGAGAACAGGTCGAATATTATAGGTTTCAAAGATTTTTTTTTAATAATTTGTAATCAGCTGTTGTTTAATTAAAAAAAATCAGGCGAGTGTTAATATATTGCAATTTTTCACAGACTGCACAGACTTCTGTAGTGCTGGTGTCGTTATTCGCAACATCAGATCATGGTATCGTCGTGCAGGACGTGAAGCCGATCACTGACGAGAATTGCCGACTGTTAGGTGTACAGTCGCCGCATATCATCATCCTGAATTCCGAAAAGAGTTTAAACAGGAGCAGCAAAGTCGTGCAGCTGTTAATGAGAGACTTTGAGGAATTGGGAGACTGCGATTCCATCACGAGGAAGGCGGTGATGGACTTCAGTTATCACATTAGCGTGGCGAACATGGACGAGGCGTTCAAAGCCATCAAGTCCATCAAGAACGAGGCTGTCTGGAAGAGTCTGGCGAAAATGTGCGTGAAAACGAAACAATTGAACATGGCACTTCTATGTTTGGGCCACATGAAGCAAGCGAATGCTGCGCGAGCTCTACGCGAGGCGATGCACAACGACAGCTTGAGTTTGGAAGCACAAGTAGGAATTCTGGCCGTCGAGCTTGGCCTTCATGTAAGTCATTAAATATATATATATATTCAAATGCGCCTTTTATTCAACGCCTTTGATGCCGCATAATTACTCGAGATCTATTTCCGTAATTGCAGACCGATGCCGAACGTCTGTTTCGCGAAGCAAAGCGTCTGGATTTACTGGGGCGGCTGCTCGAGGCGCGGAACAAATTCAAGGAAGCGATCGAATTGGCCAGCAGCGAGAACAAGATCCGCGAGAAGACGAGCTACTACAACTACGCTCACGCGCTGGAACAGCAGGGTAAAGTGGCGGAGGCTATCGATATGTACACGAAAGCGGACTGCCATCAGTTCGAAGTGCCCAGAATGCTTTGACCAGACCTCGAGAGTTGCTCGCTTATCTCAACAATTCCGAAGAACAGTGAGTAATTTGCAGTGTAGAAATGTTCGACGAGAGGAAAGCAAATCTAGTTTTATCAATGTTTTCGCGCAGGGAGATCAAAAACTGGCACGCCCAGTACACGGAGTCGACCGGTGACATGGAGAGCGCTCTGCGCCTGTACGAGCAAGCGAAGGACACTCTGTCGATGACGAGGCTGCTTTGTTATTTCAATCGGGAGGACGAGGTGTGCGAATTAGTAACCAGAACGGGCCACGCCGCGTCCGCGTATCATCTCGCCGCGCACTACGAATCGAAGAATAATGTGACGCAGGCGATCCACTTCTACACGATTGCCAAAGCTTACACCAATGCGATTCGACTGTGCAAGGTAATGTTTGCGTCTAGATTCGCTTGTTCACACTAATACTCGCTCCACTCCTTTTATTCGAGTTCGTTTAACGAAAGCCTTTTCTCGTCCGCAGGAACACGATATGCTGGAGGAACTCTGGCCGCTGGCCATATTGGCGTCGCGACACGCGCAGATAGACGTCGCGAAGTATTACGAGGACAACGAACAGCCGGATCGCGCGGTGCTGCTGTACCACAAAGCTGGTCTTCTGCACAAAGCTTTGGACGTCGCGTTCAGAACGCGGCAGTACAGCGCGCTGCAGTTGATCATCATGGACGTGAATGCGGACTCCGATCTGACGCTGATTCGCAAGTGCGCCGATTACTTCATGCAGAACGATCAGATCGACAAGGCGGTGGACCTGCTCGCGACCGGTCGTGACTACATGGCGGCCTTGGAGCTGATCCAGCAGCACAACATCGCGCTGAGCGAGGAGCTCGCGGAAAAGCTGACGGTCGAGAAAGGGAGCGACGGCGACGCCGAGCAGGAACGTCTGAGGATCTCCGCGCTCGAGAGAATCGCGGACATTGCTTTCGATCAGGGAAATTATCACCTCGCGACGAAGAAGTTCACGCAGGCCGGCAACAAGCTGCGCGCCATGAAGGCGCTGCTCAAGTCGGGCGACACCGAGAAGATCTGCTTCTTCGCGCAGGTCTCGAGAAACCGCGAGATCTACATCATGGCGGGCAATTATCTGCAATCCCTGGACTGGCAGAATCAACCGGAGGTGCTGAAGAACATCATCAATTTCTACTCCAAGGGCAAGGCGATGGATTTGCTGGCGAATTTCTACGTGGCGTGCGCGCAAGTGGAGATCGACGAGTTTCAGAATTACGAGAAGGCGTTGGACGCGCTGAATCAAGCGAGCAGATGTCTGAGCAAGGTGGTGACACCGCGGGATCCGGATGTTCACAAGCGTGCGGTGGAGTTGGTGAACAACAGGATGTCGGCGATCAAACGCTATCTAGACATTAAAAGGTGATTCTCAATCTTCGTTACAGATTTGCGAGCGATAATAGTTTGTAAAAAAAAATGAAAGTTTTAACATTTTATTTCTATGCTGAAGATATCTTAATTAAGATATATCTTCTATGGATTTGAATATTTTTTAACCTCCGTCTTTTTTCTCTCTTATTGGACAGATTGTTTAACAGAGGCGAGACGGAGACGGCGATGCAGCAGGTGCGTCACTTACTGGATTCCCAAGGACCTAATCTGGAACAATCGGTGCGTCGCGGTGATTTGTTCGCGTCGATCACACAGCATTATGCTAATATAGGAGACACTGAAAAGGCTTGGGCCACCATCGAAGAATTAAAACGCTTGGTACCAGGAATTAATTTGAGTTACTATTTTAACGTAAATCTTCTCGAGTCGTTGGGTTATAAGATGAAAGTGCAACGCCAGGACAGTTCTGATAAGGATGACGGAATTGAAGAGCTTCTAGGAGAATAAGTCTGCATTAAAATTGATTCGAAATTGCTTGACGAATTGTGAAACGAAAAACTGCGCGGTAAGTGCAGCGTGCAATCTTTATTAATAAAAAGTTACATCCAAGATGAGTGCAAAGATAGTACAGATATGTGATAGCAAAATTTGTAGTAGCGTTAACTAGGTTTAATCTTTAGTTTTGTTCTCTCTCAGAATTTTCTTTCCTCTGTTTTCTCTCTGATCGCTGTCGTTTTTATCGTGTTTGACAGCAGAATGTATGGTGAAATTTGTCCAGCTTTTCTGATCACAAAAATCAATCCTAATCAACTTTCTAGCGTGAATCTTTTTTGATTTATTTAGATTTCTCTTGTTATATTTCGGCAATAAATAGATGACAGAAGTAAACTTTCAATTTGCGTATATAGTAAATATTTAATTTATTATATATAACTTTTTTAAAATAAGTTTAAGAAAGTATATTATAATTGCGCAACTATACTTTTTATCCTGCTTTCTGCAGAGTTATTTAATTATTTGTATTTTTTACAGTATTTGTACGTAACATAGTTGTCTTTCTGATTGTAAAATAAAATATTTGTTAAAAACACAGTATATCTAAATATATTTACTTTGATTAAAAATATCATAACAAAGTGTTTTAACTAATTTTCGTATTTGAAACAATTTTGCGTATGCGCATTTCATTTTGTGCTAACAGGAAGTTGTGCTACTATATATAGTGTATTTCCTTTTTCCCAGGTGGCGCAAAATCTTTCACTTTTGCTACAAAGCAGTGTGCATTCCTTGTTATTGTTCAGTATCTGTCAGTATCATTGGTTATGTTATATAAGTAAATGTGAGTAAGTTGTCAAAGTACTTATTACAAATAGTCGTGACTCAACATAGAAGAAGAAGAAGAAGTGACTTAACAAAAACAAATCTATATTTAGATATAAAGTATGTATATTTATATATTTTGCTTTGTTGGAAAAGTAGTTTTTTTTTAAATTATTTGAAAATATTCGTTGATTTATATATTATTTCAGAGTAGGTATGTTTTTATTCATACTTTGTAATGGATGAGACTCTAACGCAAGTACAAGCAACAGTTTTATTTTTTGCAAAAGCACGTGAATTAGCTGGAAGTACGGAATGTAAAATCCACGTATCAAAAGAAATAACTGCTTCTGATCTTCTTGACAAAATTGTTTACACTTTTGAATTAGAAAGCATACGCAATCAAATAATACTAGCTGTAAACGAACAATTTGTTGATCCAAACAGTGTCCTTGTGCTATCAGAAAGAGACACAATTGCAGTAATACCACCACTCAGTGGAGGTATGTTTAATAAATTTATTGTATGTAAAAATAGTATTTTGAATTTATGGTACTGCTTAAAAATTATTTAAAATGTGTGACATTAAATATATTATCTTTGTATTTTTTTAGGATAACATGGAGACATCAAAGAATTTTATCAAGTTACAAAAAGAAGAATTAAATGTTGTAGAAATTATGGAACTAGTTACATTTCCTAATTGTGGAGCAATATCTAACTTTATTGGAATCACTCGAGATAATTTTGAAAATAAAACGGTAAAATAACATTACAGAAGTCATTCGCTCTGCCTAATTTTCCCTAGAAGAAAAAATATGTACGTGGTTTAATTTCTCAGATTTGTGCAAGGTTAAAAACCTCATTGATGAAACTTAAAAATTTTCTTCAAGTAGTTTCTTACAAACAATTATTTATAAATGATCTTTTTGTTCATATTTATGATGTTAATTTTATTACAACTTTTTAGGTAATAAAGCTAGAATATGAAGCTTATGAATCAATGGCCTTAAACGAAATGTCCAATATATGTACTAAAATTCGTTCACAATGGAATGTAGAAGGCATAGCTATATATCATCGTATCGGCGAAGTACCCATATCCAAAGCGAGTGTTGTGATAGCAATTTCCTCTCCTCATAGAGAGGAATCATTGAAAGCGGTGGAATATGCTATCAATACGTTGAAAGCATCGGTACCGATTTGGAAGAAGGAAGTATATGAAACAGGAGACCCACAGTGGAAGAAAAACAAAGAATGTACATGGACAAATAGTAAATAATTTTTTTATCGTTAACTTTGAACTTTTCCTAATACATGCATTTCTAATTACGTGTTGCTATACTTCCTTATTCTTGGATTGATCTTCCTTGCTTATATTTGGTATATTTTCAATACTTTTTCCTTTTATTTAAAACTTATCTTTCTGTAAATTTTGTATCTAGGATCTTAATCCATTGTTAGCATATATCGAAATATTTTTAGATACATTATTTGAAATGTCCTGTATATATGCTAAGTACAAAATTTATAGAAAAATAAGTTTTAGATATAAATGTTTTCTTTTTTTTAATTCTATTGTTTTTAAATGTTGGATTTTTTATATTTACTTATTATATGTTGCTTATTAATATTTACTTATTATGTTTAAAAATTTATATATATTAGAAAACAAAAATTATGTATAATTTGACATTTTTTGTTAAGTAAATTGAATAAAAAATATCACAAATATTATTTATTGCATTATGTCATCTTATATGCAACATTTTGTTTGTATAATTTGCTATATTAGAGGCGGAAAACGTCGTTGAAGCAGCTGCAGCTTCGGAGAGGAAAAATTTACAGATAGCTACAGAGATAAATGAGCAAATATCAGATAAGATTGCCATCGATCCAAATCTCGTACAGATTCAAGCGAACTCAGGGGAATTAAATCGTAGGATAAAGTCATTCATTGAAAGAAAACGTCAGCAAGTTAATGCTATCAATGTGCAAGAATTTTGCTGCCACAGGTTGGTTCATTGTTATGGATGAAGCAGAAAGTTACAAATCAAAACATTGTTACTGTATATTATAATTAATTGCTATAATTGTAGTATTTGTAGCGAAAGCAATGACGATAACGAAAGCTCTTGCGCAAGAGTAGATGCTATTCTCATTCGACGCAAAGATTCTAAAAGTCATGTGAAAGGTAAAGCATAAAGTAATATTTGATCTGAAACAATCAATTTGTGCTGCTTGAATATAAATCGCTTCTCAAAAGCAAGATACGTTTTTTTCTTTTTTAATATACGCTTAAAAGATTATGATATATATATAATTCTTTTCAGTTCACAAGGTATTAAACACGTGGGGACCTCAAACAGTTGATCAGTTAGTCTTACGTAAAACAATTACGAATAATACAAGTACTGCTACTTGCTATCCTTTGCTGGAAGACAGAATTTCTACAACAGAACGTACAATAGGAATTAATAAACCTGTGCCCAAAGATATTTACGAAAGATTGAAGAATATTGAAGATAGAGTATTATATTTAGAAAGCATATCACCGGAATACAAGGACTTTTGGGTACAACTTTCTTTTTCATACTTTAATTCGCAGTTTTTATGTATTTCGAAAATAACCTTTGATGTATATTTGATGTAAATTTAACAATATTTAAACTAATTAATTAAAATTCTTTTATCCGAAAATATTTTTATATTGTGACTTTGTTACAGGCAATAGAGAACATCGATAACTTGAGAGGCACTACAAAATCTGTCTGGAAACGAGTAAGTGTCATTAAATATTTTGTATATATTACGTATATAATGAAAATTGTAATTTTTTTTTTTGCATCAAATTTCAGGCACATTCGACAGCAGAACTCGATTTTAAATTATACGAGCTGGAAGGCAAATATATTAAGAAAATCAAACAATGATCGTATAATTTGAATAAATTCAACATTTTACATATGCACATTCCATGTTTATTATTGATCGAGTTTAATTTTTTTACAAATATGTATGTTTATACACATATAATAATCTAGTACTTATTATATATTAATATTCTTTTCTATTGGGTGTAGAAATTAATTCTTTCTATCGCGATGGCAAATTTTTTTTGCCATGTAGGTTCATTGTACATTCTACGATGTCTTTGTATTTTTTTATTATTTCTATTAAAATTAATATTTCCTCCGGAGTAAAATTAATATTTCTTTCCCTCTGCAATCCTGCCATTCGTAGTATATTTGCAAATATAATTATTATTAAACTTGAAGTTCAGGCTCGCAAATTTTTAATCAATGAAATAGCAGGAGGATCTCAAGCCAAGAAGATAATAATTCTTAAAATCTTTTATTGTACCAATTGTACCAAATTTCGTAAGTAGCAAACTTTTCGGCTAATCATTTAGCTATCTTCAGTGCTACCTTAACAAATCTAAATAATTATATACAAATCTAAATAATTATATATGTTAGAAATTTGTTTCGCAAGCTACTTGAAAGATCATCAACAATAATGGAGAATATTTCGATGATTGTATTCTTTTTTTCTAAAGTTTTGACTTCATCGAAAATTGGAAAGAATTTATTTCTACGCTTAATACAGGAATTTCGATATTTTAATACAAAACAAAAAGAATCTAGATATATATTGATGAGATTACAGACATTTATACAAGTACTTATGTACATAGATACTAAATTCAGAATCGTACTCCGAATGCTGTCAGTTACAATATAAAATGATAAGTAAATTTGTTTAATTGTATAGATAATGTTTTATCAGCTGAGAATATTTAATCTTTTGATTCATAAATCATGTGATGTCTTATTTTAGTACTGAAATAATTTTTTCTTTTTTTTTAAAAGTAAATAATTAATATTTATATAAATCTACGACTTTTTTATAGCATTTGAAAAGGTTATAGCGATTAAAGTATGTTGCTAAAAGAATAAGCGAGCTGATTTTGAAGTTAACTGAGTTTTATCTTTTCCAATATCGCATCTCTCAAGAAAGACGAATAATCGATTAATTAATCATTCGTTCCAGTTTTTTATAGAAGCAGTTTCTTGTGAAACCAATATTTGAAGAATTGAAAAATGTTTTAAATGCAAAATAAGTAGCAAAGATCATTAATCTGAGGACTGAATGCTTTGCATCTTCAAAATAGAGATGATGTAGTCTTTAAAACATATTCATACATCTAAAAGATGCAAACTTATATAAGATCTTTTTTTTCTTTACTTTGGTCAATTTATTCAATTCAGCTTATCTTCTAAAATTAAAATTAAACGACGTATATATGTTATTGCAGGGCATCAGGTTAATTATAATATTAGAAATATATATTACATCAAACACCTGAATCACAGGATACACTAAAACAGCTTGCCATTATTCTCTGAGTCGTGCCAATCTTTGCGTGAGTTCATCCTGCTCCTGGCTTGCTGCTGTCGAAGTGCCAATACTACTCAGTTGACCAGATGGTAGTTCCATGTTAAGTTCCAGCCTAAAAACAAAATTAAGTAAGTTTACTATTGTCTAGGCAATATAGAAATCTTTGATTTCAAAATAATTAAAAGCAATAAAAAGATTTTTTTCTTTACATTATGCAGTCATAAAGTTCTCCACATTAATAAAAAATCACAAATTTAATTTATCAATGCATGCTTTATAATATTTGTACAGTGATTAGAAATTACTTTCAAAGTTATTCGACAGATAGTATTAATATTACTGTGAACAATTCAAATTGAAAATTTTATAATTATACTATGTGTATATAATATAATAATCGATATTCATCTCTTAACTATGGAAAATTTAAAAAAATGAATAAAAACATATTGGTATTCTTACCCAGCTTCGTCTGCAACTTGCTGCATCAAACTGTCCACATCATTTTGAGGTACGTTGGTAGTTGTTGTTTGTGACATAGCATTCTCCATGTATGAGCTCTGCACATCCAAATCCTCAAATTGACTCTCAAATTTGTCCATGAGTCCTGAGATTTTCTCCAGATTCATTGACTTCATGGCTGCATCCATGGCTTTAACAACACCTGCCATGGATTGAGTAACTTTGCGAGTCGTAAGCGCTGTCTGTACTCTGCTAGCAACTGCATCCACCCTAGCACTCATTCTCAGGTAGTTTAAAGCTTGATTCTTTTGTCGAATTGCATTCTCCGCATGAATGCGAGCACCTTCCATGTTACCTTTTTGTATTGCTTTCTTGATCTTCATTTTCTCCACCTTTTCCTCTTTCTCACATTTCTTCGAATTCCTTTCTAACTCCTTCACTGCAAACTTTAAATTGAACAAGTTCTCTGCATTTTATTCTTAAGGAAAATAATTGTTACCACACTGTAAGAATTTAATTGGAAAGAATTGTGTAATTGTTTTGTGCAATTGTTAAAAGAAATCTTTGAAGAAACGCATTTCAAAAGATTAAAACTTAAATCTGAGAGTAAGATTTCGTCTCAGTGATGGGAGCAATCCAAAACTATTTTGACAGCTTTCACTTTGAGCATAATCAAACATCTTATAAGAAAACATGTTTAACACGAATTTTTCAATGTTTAATTTTATATTTATATAAAGGATACTTTCCATCTGAGATACAGACATTGTTGATGGGATTCACTCTTGTTATTATAAAAATAAAAAAATTAACCTAACTTGATCTCAACAATAAGAAAATTCACCCATAACATGCACAGTGTTATTCTGGTTCTGCTCTATTACAATTATTATATCTATGACTGAAAAATCAGTTCGATAGTAACTCCATCTATCGCACAGAGATAAAAGATAGACAATTACTCTAGGGTTTTTAGCGCGCCCATGCGCGGGGCGTCGTCTGTGATTGCGGCGCCGTATGCGTCGTCGCCATTTGCAATTACTCGTTAAGGGTCAGCGCACGGCAGGCACGGCACACGCGGCCGCTGTTCCACGTTGTACCCGTCTACCCCCTTTTGAATTATCCGTCTCGCAATGTTCCGAGCCCGCTGTCCGCTAACGTTTGACTACGCCGTCGACCGCTACGTATAACCTATAGTGTAGGTAGTAGTATTGCAATGAGGGGTGCGCGCGTATACGCATGTGTGCGTTAAGAGTGCGTGGTGCATGTGTGCATTGCGTGCGTGCTTGTGTCGCGCGCGCCGCACCGAGCGGTTGAATCGTTACCCTCTCCACCCTCTCTCCGCTCCATTTCTTTCACTTTCTCTATCTATCTGTCTCACCTAACCTAACCTAACCTTCTTTTGCGGCTGGAGCTGTCAGTAGATCAGATCGCGGCGCGCGCAATGAATTATCTATAATCGTCGTCAAATCAGGCCCTGCATTAGACACTTGGAGTAATCCATCGCGCACTAAGGATCAACGTGCTAGGTGAAGCTGTCTTGGATCTGCTCCTACCCCTCTCTGTCCTTGCACCACCGTTCACCATCGCGCAGCCATGGCCTCCTCCAATCGTGGCATCCAGATCGGCTCTGGCTGGTTTCAAACGAAAATCAACCTTAGGCCGCAACATCGGGGCGTTCACCTTGTCACCGAAGAGATCCTCAGGCAGGTCCCTGAGCTCTGCCAATTTTCCATTGGTCTCTGCCATATTCAGAGTAAGTGCTACTTTCTTACTAACCTACCTATCTCAATAGCCTGATTAAATATTTGTGGCTGTACCGCTATAAGCTTTCTCGAATAGACCGAGATTGATGATTTTATTTTCATTTCTGATGTGTATTTACAATATATTTACTTACACATGTGCGTATATACATATATGTTTATATATATATACATGTACATTTTTATATAATATATATGTATATGCATATAACAAAAAGTGAAGCAGAGTTTCTTTTTGTAATGCAATAAACGATAGATAAATTCTTTTCTATAGTTCTTCATACCTCAGCTAGTTTAGCATTAAATGAGAGCTGGGATCCGGATGTGAGAGACGATATGGAAATGATGCTTAACAAAATAGTTCCTGAGGGTTTAGAATACAGGCACAGTTGTGAAGGCCCTGATGACATGGTAAGTTGAAAACTTCTATATTTTTTATTCATATTGGATTTTTATGTCCTTAAAAAATGTGTTTTCAATACTATTTTTTATATTCTCTGTATACAGTATGATTATGGAGCTTACAAATTGAATTTTTTAATAGAAATATTAACAATGCTTTGTATGAGATCAATTTGGTGGCAGTTTATAGACTGTTTAACGACTTAGATCACAAATCTAATCATAGTATATGTATCATAAAAGAATTAATTTTTTTTTTAATGTGATGATTCTTTTCAACTCCTGTTCGTGGAAGAATGATTTGGACAAGACGGTAGAATGGTACTGAAAATTTCTGATCTTTTGTAGCCAGCGCATGTGAAGGCTTGCTTTCTGGGATCGTCATTGAGTATCCCAATCACTGATGGCAAACTGGCGCTGGGTACGTGGCAGGGTATTTGGTTAGGCGAGCACCGCGATCATGCCGGTAGCCGCAAACTGGTGGTGACGCTAACCGGTGTCCTGAGAGACTCCGCGCGCAGCCCTCTCAGCCCGGTCAGTCCCATCGCTTCTACCAGCAGCTAGGACCACTCGCACCCCCGAAGGCGTGGCAAACGTCAGCCGCGCGCATCTATCTCGAGCAATTCGAGCTAGCAGCCGCTTCAATCCTTAGTCAACTTGGAAAAGTACAATTCATTGAGGAAGAGTGAGCCGGATACCTCGCGGACTTATTCATCGCCCGGGGAGAGCCAACGCCAATAGCGATCGATCAAGCCTCTTCGATGTTCGCGTCGATCGTCGCGAAGTGCACATACTCGGGGTCGCGCATCATTCAAGACTTGTGTGCGTACGTGTATGTGCTTCAAAGTTCAATATCCGTGTCTCCGATGTCATTCAGCGAAGGATATCTTTTCCTGTTTGAGTGACGACGGGCTGTTGGATTTGTTGCAAGAGTTCCTTAGATCAGAAATTCATGTGACGATGGATTTTTGAACCTGGGTCGATTTAACTTGCCCTTATAGCTTCAAAACGTTCCGATTGTATGGAAATTTTTCACTTGTTCAGGACCGAATTTAAACGATCGCATTAAGGGATCGATAGAAATCACGAATTTGATATTCGAAGATGCGGAAAGAGCTAAGACCACTGAGAGGGCATTGCGACTCATTTTTCCATTCTGCGAATTCAGAAGTTCAAAGGCTTGGAAGTTCTTCACACAAAAGTTGGAATCTTTGCAACAACTCGAAACTTTCACTCACTCCTTCATTCAATTCTTAGCTTGTGTTAATCACGCGGGATATGCAATACAATAATAATAATAATAATAATAAAAGAACACGAAAAGATAAAGGGGATAGAGAAATAGAGAAATGGAAAAGAAAACTGCCACGCATTGCGCGTATCTCACGTAAATAAAACGAATTAAACGCGAGTATCCAGCGCTCTTCCGCCTCGCTCCGAAAGAGAGAAGAAACAAAAAGAAAAAAAAACGGTAAAGACACATTCTAAGGAAAATAATTGGAAGAAAAAAAAATGAATCTATACATTCCGATAACGTGTCCAATACTCCGAATTTACGTAACTTTATTTAGGAAATCCTTTTGTATATACAGTAAAGTTAACGAATACGAGCAGCCGTGCAGGAACTCGCATCCTTTTTTACACTCTGCTACCTTTAGGCTGTCCTGAAATGAGGGAAAAAAAATAGTGATAAATAGAGGGTAACAAGAGTGAGAGAGCGTTTAAGATACACGTTGTGAACTTTCTGACTCGCTTTAAAAACAAAAAAAATGATTAGGAGCTGAATTCATTGCTCGTGAAGAATGACGTTTCTATCGCACATTGGGGGTGTGTATATGTATATAATATAAGTCCGGCGACGACTTTCTGTGGCGTCACGCGCGTCTCCGCCGAAGTTGTAACGCGCGTTATATCGGGAGCGGGTAGTGCGATCACACATCCTATGTGAATTCTAGCGCGTGTATCAAGTGTCACAAGATTCGAATGTAAGAAACGAAATGCGGCGGAAAAGCTTGCGGGAGACCAAATAGTTAAAAAAAAAATGCGCGCAATCTTTTTTCTATTCCGAGCAACAACTCTTCGCAACGATTTGGAATTCGCCCAATTATGTGAGCTTATCGTTGAAGAGAGAGAGAGGTCTATCCGCGAATCCGTGGGTTCACACTTCACGCAATCACTCACATCGGAGAATAGATATTATTGTACACAAATGTTGCTATACGCATAATTCACAGACGCATGATTTTTTAACCGTAGCTCATGGATTTGTCGAAACGTTCAATTTCCACATTTGCAAAGCTCGGAGACAAAAGGATCGCGTGCACTTGCGTTATTTAGGTTTTCACGAACTTTTTCGCTCATCTATTTGTATACTCGAACTTTGTGACATTCTGTAATTAAAGCAACGTTATTGTACACACGAAGAGTCGATTGCATCAAACGTCGATCGTCGTTTTCTTCGCTGTTTCTTACGTTGCAGCCGCAACTCTATATCACTCTATTAAGCAAAAATTCGATTATTTTTTTAATATCAAAACTTTTGCAAATGACAAATATTCTCGAGACACGCTCGCCGAGAAAAAATTATTATTTTAATTTAAGACGAGATTGAAGATATCATATATTTATGATAATTTATATCAATATATAATCAATATATAATATTAATATATAATTTATTTAAAGAAAGAATTATGTAAGGAAGAAAGAATCGCTGGATGGAATCTAGTCAACCACGACTGTCGATGCAATTGACTTTTGCCTACTAAAAAGATCATTTTCTCGAGGGTTGCAAGTACGTAAAGCGTCGTTTTCAAGGATCCAGCACTGCGGCGAATTATAACGTTGGATCGTTTCGAAGATAGCAATGTCGGTTTCGGAAAAGTCTTTCTCGAGTTTTTCTCGGCCTCCGATTTCTCGAAGATGTGGGGAATTCCGGTTATTTTCGGTGCACAGAATTTCGAGTCTTCGGGCAGATATGAAAAAAAACCTGCGTCCTCTTCTTCTTCACGTCGAAGATTGATGAAAAAGTAAAAAAAAAAAAAAAAAAGTACGAAGGGGTTTCCTCGTCGATCCGAACCGACAGTGCTACAGTACATTCACACAATGTTATTAACCGAAGCTTAACTAACGAGCTTGCCGCGGCGTGTTAAAAAAAAAAAAAAAAAAACGAACAGGCAGACAAGCAGAACAAGCGTTGTCGTTGTTTAGTCATTAATCCTCAACGTACATAGGCGTGCGAGAAAAAAAAACGCGTCGTCGTCCATTACATGATTAAATGGACTTATGCTTTAATGTAAAGTACGTCTCTATCTATACAGTTCACATAGCTTAAAAAAAAAGGAATAAAAAAAAAACATTATTGGAGCTCAAGGTATAATGTAATGTAATGGTATACTGTCGAGGTTATTGTACGTGTTCGCCCCCTCCCCCCATACGAACACGCGCGAAACGGGGCTGCGAGGGGTACAAGAGGGAGGAAGCGCGGAGAGTATGTATAAAGGAACGATATCATGTGGACTTTCCCCGCGGCTCCTGTTGTGCCCCCCGCAAACGCGACTTTAGGTTCAACAGCCTGCCACCAGTTCTTGCTTTCAAGCGAAGTGGTTTAGCATTTTAATCTGTACACACGCATATTGTAAATAATAATGATTTGCTGAACTTAAGACGAGGCTGCGTTCTCGAGATTTTAGAAGAGTTATATTATTCAGCGCGATCCGCAGGGAGCCACGAGACTCCGGTTTCTCCGGTTTCCGCGGGGTGCACAGAACGCCCTGAACTCTCGCGCGAATCACTTTTCTCGTCCGACGTTTCGATTTTTTATTTTTTTTTCGGGAAAAAGCTGCCTTCGAAATCCTCAGCGTGATTTCTCGCATCCCGTCAACCTTTTCTTTCGTCATTTATTGGAAGCTCTTGTCAAGTTCCGTTGGAATATGTCGCTGTCAATTTTGTTCGCACTGAAAAT